GTGGCTGCCTAAGGGCCCAGGCGTTCGAGTTGCTGAAAAGCGTGCACAGCGTGAAAATGAGAGTTAAAGTTAGCTGAAGCGGGGTTGTTTCAAGTAAATAATGACGAAAGGAGGATAAGAACACATTTCTGACACATCAGACCCATCAAAACTGCATTTCAGAAAAAAGAAGAAAAAATTCGAAAAATTAGTGAAAATAGTGAAATTCGTCAACTTTGGCGCCCCATAGCGCCTAAACGGCTTGTCCAAACTCATTTTGCGGACCGGCAATCGAAAGATCGCACTTTTTTCTCTGCCCAGGACCCGTTTGGGTACTTTTTTGAGCTTTGGTTTGGCAGAACCCATCTAGTCCCAAAACGTCGAAAATGGCCATTTTTGGGGTGTTTTGACCCCTGCCAAATCCAGAGGGGCGGTCGGATTTCGCCCAAATGTCTTTTCGGCAGTTCGTATGCATACAAGGAACCGATAAAACACCAAAGGTGCCCGGTCCTATGATGTCGCCGACCAAGTGGTTTGTTTTGTCTGGAGCTTCTCTAGTTGACATAGAGCACCATATTCCATATGAATCTGAACGCGGCTATTTTCCACAGTGAGTACCTTTCTGCTTGTGTCCATATACATAAGGATATTATGTGCAATGTGCCAAGCCGTTACTTCCCTTTGCAGGGCAGCAAGTGAAGGCCCTTTTTGGCAACGGGCAGAGTACAGCTATTGTTCTTCGTGGCCATTTCCTCTACAATCCAAACCCCTCCGTCAGGGAACATGTGGCCAGTGACAGCAGTCAATCAACTTATTTTTCAGACTACGAGGATGAAGATTACACTCACAAGTATCCACAAAAGTGGAGAGCACTCGACTGACGCAATTATTTTGGTTTGTAGGTGCGGACTTCACACATGGAGTAAGCACATTTGTGAATTAATTCATTTATTATTTAATTTTAAACTTAGCCTCATTGTGAGCAGATGGTTTTGTCTTCAGTTGGTTTAATTTCTTTAATGTAGTAACAGCCCATTAGGCCCCAAATACCATTCTTCTCCTCATAATTTAATTGTAGCTCAGTTCCTTTCATGTACTTAATTTTTTTCTCAACCATCCAGTAGTTTTTGTACACGATATGCTTGTGCAAAGGGGAACATGGGTATAATGTGATAAGCAACTTATTTTTATACCTTTACTGTGAACCACTTTGAAGTATTGTAAACTATTGTGAACTTTTGGAGAAAGTAATTGAATAAATAAATGACGAGACTAGCTACAATCAATTGTGTTGTTAATAAATTATGATGAAAAATCACATTACATTTGACGACACCTCTGCATCCTTTTTTCTCTGGATTCTGTAGACAGTTTGGGTGGAGGCACCTCTGGCGCCTCGGGTTCTGCATCTGCTTGTTGGCTGAGCGTTAGCGAAGCCCTTGCCGTGTTTGGGCGCGCTGAAAAGTGACTGGTCGTGCGTCTGTCTGTCTGTCTGTGAGTCTGTTTGTACTCACCAACGATTCTCAGCAACTACAGTGGCTATAGTTTCAAGATTTCGTATTTAACGTCGCCTTAGTACCCCCCAACACGAGTTTGTTTCAAATCGTTGTTTAGTATCGTTTGAAATATTCAAAACATATTTTTGAATCAGGTCATTAGCGTGGTTAGGTTGGCAGCGCGGCAGCGCTTACCAATTTCTCATACCTGCGGGTCCGCGGCTCTCAAATACGGGACTTAAGCAAATAAGCAAATAAAACGAAATAAAGAGCAGAAGGGTTTGGGAAAAGAGATCGGCCTTAGTTTTTCAACATTCTAGAATGATTAAAACCATTTTGGAACACCAACACAGCGAAATATGGAAAAAGGGGTTCGAAAATGATTTACGTGTTTCGTTCCCCTCTCCCCCCCCTGTCAGAGGGGAATCATCTTCAGGTCAGTGCACTTTGACAAAGCTTTGTAAAAAGGATGTTTTTATTTTGACCTTTTGTATTGTGTGCATCTTCTTATTTCATTCTAGTGTCATCCTCTTTTTAAAATTTTCAAACTAGAGGAAATTAGGGAAATGCATAAATAACTTGTGTTGAAATTGGCAGGCATACTTAGTTTGGACTCGAGAAATTCATTCTATTGCAATGCTGCAAGCTGACAAGAGTCCAAAAGTACTAACATAAGTTTATTAATAGAATCAATATATGGTTGTGTATATTTAATCCTAATGGAGTTTGAATTGATGTTGGTTTCAAAGAGACGACTCAGGTTTTGAGCGGTGAGTGAATTGGTGATTGGATTTAGTGAGACGATTCCTTTAACTTCACCGAAGTTAATGTAACTGGTACTACTCAGTAATGTTTACATGAGTAAGAAAAATTATGTCGGTTCATTAAGCCTTGGGTAGCCTTGGCATTGGACTCTATGTGACGAATCACTGGATTTGACAATAATTTGTCCCCGTTAACTGGTTTAGATCAGCCTACCCTAAACTGACTTTCTTAATATTTACTGTGATAACATGTTCCAACCAATATTGTTTTATTCACTGGTTCACAATGAAAGAATAACAAAATGTTTCATAAATATAACTTATACAATTGTGAGTTCATTAGTTAAGGAAAAAGAGTTATCGAATAGTGACCCAAGCATACGAGGAGCCAATTAAGCGATTCAATGTTGGCAATTGAATTTTACTCGACTGAGGGATTCGCTTTGGTGTGGCATCAGGGAATTGGTGACGACAGAGGGTGCTTCATGAAGACAAATAGGAACAATATACAGAAATTGAGTTTTAAGTATTGTATGTAGTTTGCAGTGTACTGGTCACAAAAAATACATTTATTTCAATGCCAATCCTACATTTTCATCTAGAGCTACGCAATTTGGGGCAAAACTTTCCAAGTTGAGATTTATGTATTTCCCTGTATTTTCAGTGCGCTGACCTCAATATTGACATCTTAATTGTCCCCTTAAACCCCAAAAATTTTAAACCCATTTTTGGTTAAATTTTTTGAAATGAATTGTACAGTGATTCTTGCAGTTTTTTGAGTGCTGATAACGAAAATAACTCCCATTTTAACACCAGACCTATATTTTCATCCCATATTAGATCATTTTGGACCAAAAATTTCAAGTCAAGTTTTATATTGTTTCCTGCAGTTTTTTGTGTGCTGAACTCGAAAATGACTTCCAAAATTTTTCCCAGACTCACACTTACCCGAATTTTGACCAATTTTGGACCAAAATTTTTAAATCGAGTTTGACATTGATTCCAGCAGTTTTTGGTGTGCTGATAACGAAAATCACTTTCATTTCGACTCCAGACTTATATTCTCATCGCAAATTAGATCATTTTGGACCAAAATTTTCATGTTGAGTTTTACATTATTTCCTGCAGTTTTTGGTGTGCTGAGCTCAAAAATGACCTTCAAACTTTTCCCAGACTCATATTTAACCGAATTTTGACCAATTTTGGACCAAAATTTTTAAATCGAGTTTGACATTGATTCCAGCAGTTTTTGGTGTTCTGATGACGAAAATCACTTCCATTTGTACCCCTGGTCTAAAGTTCACTGAATATGAGCCCATAAGATGGACACTTCGTCTAATCAAGCAAAGTCCAAAGTGCACAAAAAATGTCAATTCGCATCGCTCAGCCACACTACGCGCCCAGACTGAACGGCGCGTACCCCTAGTTTATCTGGGCTGTGCCAGCCCAGATCCCACCAATGTGGTGGAGTGATGGGGCGGTCTGGTTCGGGGACAGGGCTTTGGGTACTTCTTCCTTGTTTCCTTGTACCCCATTGCATTCAAAGCCTTGTCAACCTCTGCATTCGAGACCCAGACACCGCCGGGGATCTTCAGCAAGTGAGCAGCCTTTTTCCTCATCCTACGCTCCTGCCTGGTGGAAAGATGTGCACTTGTTACGCTTTGCACAAATAGCAAACGTATTTCAATGTGATGCACAACTGCAACTCTCTTACCTCTTCACGATGGCGGGATCGATTTCCTCTACCTTTGGAGTCGGTTGTGGAAGGGCCTTCCTCTTGGGCAGGGGTGCGAATTGGAATCCACCTGGCTCGTCCTCTTGGAGCTCTTGTTCTGCACGAGATCGTTTTACATCCAAGGGTCTCCTGCAAGGATATTAAAGTTAATAGACATAAGGGAATAAGTGCAACAAACAGCAGTAAAATGTTAAGTTATCCAAAATTAGGAATGAGAGGTCCCTTGAGAATGCTCTGCAAACTGAAATGTGTGCATGGCACGCTCTATTTGGAGCATGCCATGAAGCACGCTTTAATTTGGAGCGTGCTTGGCAGGCACGCTCTAAATTAGAGTGTGCTTACCAGGCACGCTCTAAACTAAAGCGTGCCTGCCAGGCACGCTCTATTTTAAAGCGTACTTAGCAAGCTCACTCCAAACTACAGCGAGGACGGCAACCACAATCCTGAATGCTCTTAATGGCTTTAACTTTTTAATATTTACTAAATATGTACTAATGCAAGGTTTCCATTTTATACTTTAAAGAAGCAAGCATTTCAAGTCTAGTGCTCAGATGTATTTTACGTCAACAAAGCTTCTCCGCTATTTTTACAACTATTGATGTATAATATAAAATGGCACCGGTGCGTGTTAGACCTGGGAGGTTTCTTAACCATGGACGAATCAATTAAAACATTTCTCATCCAGAAAGACACATACAGTGTATGTTCGACATGACACTAGTTACTCACTCTTTTGACTGTCCAACAATCCATAGCAAAGTCACCTAGCCCTGTTGCTGGGTGGTGAAGGTTGAGGCTGCAGTCACTGGGAAAGGGAACACATACTCGGGGTAAACGAGCTCCATACGTTTATCTAGCCCTTCCAGTCTCATCGTTTTCAATAACTGCGTGCCATAACACAACGCCACCACAAATCGCCAGCACAACGAAAACAAACTACACTTTTGGCGTCAAGGTTGCCATTTTGAATTTTGGACTTTTGTTAGCGCACTTGTCGTCTGCTTGGGAAGCACTTGTTTTTCCGAGGTGCCAACCTACACATGATTTCAAAAACCGGAAAAACGATGGGTGTGGATTTCTTAATTAAAAGGTATTGAGTGGCAAAAATCATAATCGAATTTTATTCTACTTCGTGTACCTGTGTCGGGAATGTTTCTTTATAAAAAGACCGAAAATTAGAGTTCAGTTTGCGAGCCGTCTGGCGCATACGTGTTGCAGCAATTTCTCATACGAGTGCATATGAAAAACTGCTGACTGCACAGACGCGTTGTGTTGTGTTTCAAATTCAAAATGGCAGCTGTGACGCCTGAAATGTGAAATTTGTTTTCGTTGTGCTGGCGATTTGTGGTGGCGTTGTGTTATGGCACGCAGTTATTGAAAACGATGAGACTGGATGGGCTAGATAAACGTATGGAGCTCGTTTACCCCGAGTATGTCTTCCTTCCGTGTGACTGCAGCCTCAACCTTCACCACCCAGCAACAGGGCTAGGTGACTTTGCTATGGATTGTTGGGCAGTCAAAAGAGTGAGTAACTAGTGTCATGTCGAACATACACTGTATGTGTCTTTCTGGATGAGAAATGTTTTAATTGATTCGTCCATGGTTAAGGGGAGGTTCTGGTGGAAATCTTGACATTTTCCAAATGGATCCTACAGTCATAATTTGTTCGGAATATAAATTTTTTCATTGAGGAGACTAAAATTTGACTTTTGAAGGCACATGCCAGGCTGTAAACCCAGTCGAACAGTCTTTTTGAGCCTATTTTGGCTGTATCTTAAAAAATCTCCTTGCGCATACTATTTTGTCGTAAAAGGTTGACCTTGACATTTTTCACTTCTTTGACTCATTTTCAAAAGATTCCGGCATGCAGAGCTCAAAACTTCCATTATATTATTCGTTATTGGCTTTTAAAACTGAAAAGTCCCTTAAATTTGTCTATTTTGTACATTTTTGATCAATTTTAGTGAAATGCTTGGTTAGAAAGCTTGCGATTAAAAATGCAATTGACATTTTGAGATGTGCATGCCGGCATTTTAAAAAAATGAATCGAAGAAGTGAAAAATATCTAAGCCAACCTTTTACGACAAAATAGTATGCGCAGGAAGATTTTTAAAGTTATAGCCTTAATGGGACAAAAAGGCTCTGCGACGATGTTCAGGGCATAGAATGTGCCTCCCCAATGAAAATTTTTAATAAATACTTGATAAGACGTCAAATTTTTAACAAATTTTCAAAGTGGGACCTATTTAGGAGAAAATAGCATTTTCACCAGAACCTCCCCTTAAGAAACCTCCCAGGTCTAACACGCACCGGTGCCATTTTATATTATACATCAATAGTTGTAAAAATAGCGGAGAAGCTTTGTTGACGTAAAATACATCTGAGCACTAGACTTGAAATGCTTGCTTCTTTAAAGTATAAAATAGAAACCTTGCATTAGTACATATTTAGTAAATATTAAAAAATTAAAGCCATTACGAGCATTCAGGATTGTGGTTGCCGTCCTCGCTGTAGTTTGGAGTGAGCTTGCTAAGCACGCTTTAAAATGGAGCGTGCCTGGCAGGCACGCTTTAATTTAGAGCGTGCCTGGTAAGCACACTCTAATTTAAAGCGTGCCTGCCAAGCACGCTCCAAATTAAAGCGTGCTTCATGGCATGCTCCAAATAGAGCATGCCATGCACACATTTCAGTTTGCAGAGTGTCAGGGAAACAGCAATAAGGCTCTCTCCAACCAAGCAAGGGTAACTTCAACTATGCAGTGCAGTGGAAAAGTTGTGAAAACAAGGAAGAAAGGTCCCTTCTGCACAGATGGAAAGAAAAATAAAACTAACGCAAGGATGGCTGGCATGCTGTCAAAACAAGTGTGGAGGACTCCACACTTCCAGGTGTGGACACTTTCAGTAATGATCCACACCTGGAGCACATGCATTTGAGACTAGCAAATAGCACCTCGCAATTATACTAACCGAATTTCTTCAGATTTGTGGTCGGTTTCCATGTCCGCAAAATGTTGCCAGCAAAACACACACAAAACCAGCCCTAGCAAAACACACAGCCACGCTTCACGACGCACAGCGCAAAACACACAGCCACGCTTCACGACGCACAGCGTCCGTATTTTCCCGGGGGTTTTCCCGTCACGACTCCCCCTCCCCCTCCCCCCCTCCTCCTTAGCCACGCTGTGCAGCGACGTGCCGGCCAGACACCACGGCGCCACAGTGCCCAGGTGGAGGGGGACCTTCGTGGCCTAGCTAAACCTGTCGCCAGCCGTCATGCCGTAACGAGGGGATAGGGCCTCCGATGAATAGGCAGGTAGCCGGGGTCAGGTAGCCCCCGGTCTGACTAAGGATGTCGCCTTAGTTAGACCAGTCGCCCCCCTTTACCTTAGTCAGGCCACTAACTCCGACCTAACAGTGTAGTGTGGTGAATAATTCAGATGATTCGGAATGAATTAATAATAATGGGATGAAACACAATGCTGTATTACTTTCATGCACAATTCTCATAAATGCCATTAGGCAATAGTCACTTTACAAGCAAGTACACAAATGAAGGAAAATAATTACAATCCAAATGAGTGTATTAATACATAACAACATTATTACAGGCAAGAGAGCTCTCATGCAAATAACTCAAAATCTAAGTGACAGAGTGTGAGCAGCTACAACCATAAAAAATGGAGGAGTAAGATGCAAATGAGTACATTGACCGGACAAAAGACAGACGAGGGAGCTCTCATGTACATAAATAAGAATATTGGTCTCGCTGCGTGAGCAGCTGTACAAAATAATAATGGAGAAGGTACAATGCAAATGAGTGCATCAACCAGACAAAAGACAAACACAGGCAAGGGAGCCCTCGTTTAAATAACTAAAAAAATAATTGTCCTACTGAGCAGCTGCACGTTGACACAATAAACAATGCAAGATCAGCGTAAATGTAGAGAGGTGATGGCTTGAACCAAGTTCTGAACAGCGAGAAGAACCCCTTTCAAAAGTTGGTTGTTTTCTTCCAGCAGACTCACTACAGATTCTGGGGGAGTGACCGAGAATACTGCAAGAGAAATTCCCAAATTAGTTATGTAAACACAAAACACACTTTTTAAAAAAATAGGGGGAAAAGTTTGGGAGAGTATACTATACCTTCTCTTTCCTCAGGAAAAGAAACCTCGTTTCGACTTTGGCGCATACCCGGAGGCCCCTGGAAATGTATGCAAAATCTTAGGTCTTGCACCGAAGCACTTTGGAGTCTGAAAATGACAAACAGTATTAGTCTCTCTCTACTACAAACTTCATAAGAATACAAATTGGTCAAAAAAGTGCTCTGGAGGAGCCAAGAATTTTAATCAAAATTACAACACCAGAAACAATATAAGTGAAACATACCTGAGGGGCTCCTGCTTGAATTCTTTCTTCAAAGAGCTTTTGATGCCCAAAACCTGCCGGAAAATAGAGACCAATCAGCAACTAGGATTCCCTTAAAGAAAGGCAGCCACCAAGCAAACGAACCTTCCTTCAGAAATGTCACTTCAATCCCCGAATCACTGAAGCATTCCAGTTCTTCGATATCGTTGTCAGGGTAGGAGTGGTTACTAACTTCTTGATCAGTGGCGACCGCCGGCCCGGTAGGCAACCCCTCGCCTACGGAAGTCCATGGGGTTGCCTACCGGGCCGGCGGTCGCCACAGGACCGCCGGCTGCCAGCAGGGGGTGGCAACGGCCTAGGCGGCGCGTGAAACGATGCTCCCCGCTCGGGCCGGCGAGCGACGCGCGGCCGACCACTGTGCACGGTGTCACTAAAATCAACATAACCTCATCAAAACTTCATCAAATTGAAAAACCCAGGTCATTTTCAGCATCTACACAAAATTTCCTATTTGTATGAAGTCATGGTTTACAGTTTTAGACCCGTTCAAAATGTTAAATTTCAATTTATAATCAAATTTATCGGCAATTTTAGCCAATTCAATATTTTACAACGACGAAAAAAGTGATTTCCGTTCGTTTTAGGTCCATACATGCAGCGAGCCGATTGTTGGCCTCCACTTCCCCTATTGCGTAAGCATACTGGAATGCCGATACGACATCGGTGACGGTCACGGTGGCCCATAATGTAATTTGCAAAATTAGACCAAAAGCAGTTAGACTGACTTTGGGAATATTTTTCGTGGCTCTTTCGCACTTGTTTATCGTTCTGCAATAGCCTATACCACGCAGAATTTAATTCTCTATCGCCCTGTGGTAACGGTTTTTTAAACGGACGTTTCAGTTTTCACATTTCGAATTAGTTTTAAAACACTGCAAACTAACCCTAAAAGTACACGTATTTGGTAAAGCTTCACTTGAAGAAACTGGGTGTCGTATCGCAAATCTGACTTCACCACGTTGTAGAGCGGACAATTCTACATGCCCCCGTCAAGTTTCATCACAATCGGTTGATTAGTTTGATGACAGCATTCAATTTTCGGCAACTATGACGACATAACCGCCGCAGCGATTTCTCATACTTGGGCTGCGTGACCCGACTCGTCGCCAAGCCCGAGCGTCGTCTGCCTTTTGAAATATCTTTGAAGCATTCAAACCAATCAACCGATTGTGATGAAACTTGACGGGGGCATGTAGAATTGTCCGCTCTACAACGTGGTGAAGTCAGATTTGCGATACGACACCCAGTTTCTTCAAGTGAAGCTTTACCAAATACGTGTACTTTTAGGGTTAGTTTGCAGTGTTTTAAAACTAATTCGAAATGTGAAAACTGAAACGTCCGTTTAAAAAACCGTTACCACAGGGCGATAGAGAATTAAATTCTGCGTGGTATAGGCTATTGCAGAACGATAAACAAGTGCGAAAGAGCCACGAAAAATATTCCCAAAGTCAGTCTAACTACTTTTGGTCTAATTTTGCAAATTACATTATGGGCCACCGTGACCGTCACCGATGTCGTATCGGCATTCCAGTATGCTTACGCAATAGGGGAAGTGGAGGCCAACAATCGGCTCGCTGCATGTATGGACCTAAAACGGACGGAAATCACTTTTTTCGTCGTTGCAAAATATTGAATTGGCTAAAATTGCCGGTAAATTTGATTATAAATTGAGATTTAACATTTTGAACGGGTCTAAAACTGTAAACCATGACTTCATACAAATAGGAAATTTTGTGTAGATGCTGAAAATGACCTGGGTTTTTCAATTTGATGAAGTTTTGATGAAGTTATGTTGATTTTAGTGACACCGTGCACAGCGGTCGGCCGCGCGTCGCTCGCCGGCCCGAGCGGGGAGCATCGTTTCACGCGCCGCCTAGGCCGTTGCCACCCCCTGCTGCCAGCTAGGGCTTGCCGCCCTGCAGGACAGACCGGCGGTGCGGCCTGGGCCCGGCCGCTGCCGCGGCCACTCCGGGCGACGGTGAGCGCCTGCGGGTAGGCAACCCCTCGCCTACGGAAGTCCATGGGGTTGCCTACCGGGCCGGCGGTCGCCACATGTGTTCTGCTGCTTGGCAAGTGGAAAATCGATGGTAAGCTGCAACAAGCACAAAGGCAGAGTTTGAAAAGAAAAATAATGTAAAAGCATCACAACCAAACAAAGAAGAGGTGGAGGGTACATACCTCACAGTAGTCCCACAAGTCCTTACGAACAGCACGGAACAGCCACAGCTGCAGGACCAGGAGGTCCTTAAGCAAGGGCTTCTTGAAATCGATGTGGTCGATGTGCCACCCGTCAAAATTTAAACTTGACAATAAATAGAAATCAAAAGGCCGAGAAATTCAAAAAATTCCAATGCTAATGTATTCCGCAGTGTTCTGACAAAGGAACATTTTCGAAGTCCATCATTATTAAAATGTTCGTAGCAGAAAAAAGGCAGTAATTTAATTTTCACGGGTTGGCAACAATTTTTTCGGCGTCTGCGCCCTTGCGAAAATCGCGAAGCTGAAAACACCACACTGCAGGAAATAACCACAACAAAAGTTCACCAATTTCTCGCAAATTTTTTAACAGGAATTAAGTGTACTTTTCAAGTACAACAATTGTTGTACAAAGTACAATGGGACCGGCATGACAAGTGCTGTGCAGTCCAGGGCTCGTTGTGGTTCGTATTCTCGTTGTACTTTCTACAATCCCTGTTGTTCTTTCTATACAATCCCTTACAATCAATCTTTGGCCAGGGTTTGCTTGTCTCATCTACCTTCAGCAATGACAGTACTTCCAAGTCTGTTGAAAACAAAGATGGTGCTTAAGACGATCCAAATAAACCTCCTTCGTTTGATGATTTGAATAATATTGAAAACTGGAGAGGCCTGGGACAAGAGAAAAGGAAACCTTCAAAGTATTTGACTCCTTATCCAGGAATTGACATTGAAGTTACGATGGAGGATCCCAAAGATCTCCTGCTGAAGAATGTAAATCTTACTAAATTTCCACTTATGAATGGTAAAAGCAAGATTCAAGTCAGAAACACTTGCACTTTCGACTCAGTAATTCAAGTCATTGCAAGTTCATAATTGAGAACAAATCTTTTCGTGATTGGGTCGAGAAGGAAATTGTTCCTTTTTTCACCTCTGAGATTTATTGAACCGGTGTCTTCGAAAATTAACAAAAGGTAGTTTTAACCTTAAGGAATCCATTTAGAATATTAAGAAAAGTAGACTTTTATTTTATTTTCTTGACCCTAGCAGAAACAACCCTGTGTGATATTAGCGTCCGGTGGTGGCGGAGTGTGGGTGGGTTGGGTGGGGGAGGGGAAGGGAGGGGTGAGGGGGCGGGGGGAGGTCATTGGGTGCCAAAGAACCAGAGGGGAGTGGAAACAGCGAGGTCCAACACGCCACGCGCAAGGCCACCGTGCCCGAGCCAACCGCAGCCCCTGCCACCACACCCCAGGCCGACCATCCCGCCGTGCCCGAACCCGCCGTGTCCAGGCCGGCCTAGGGTGGCCCACGCGAAAAAAAAAGTTTCAAAATCGAGAAGCGCCGCACGGAATCTTAAAGTTCGGACCAAAAAAAAATTTTCCGCATTTTTTTTTTATTTTTTTGGAGCATTTTTTAAGGGGTTACCCACTGAGGTAATCGTGT